CGGAGAATCACTAAAACCGTGATTTATAAGTGATAAATCTGTGTTGGTGATAGGGAGGAGGCAAGGCGCTGCTGGGAGTCGGGACGGACGTATAGCTCCGGCCAAGCTATAGGTCCGGGAGTGCTCCGCTCCGAGGTCCCCCGGAGCAGCACCGGGTGCGGCTCAGGTCTCCTGGGGGAGCGGAGTGGGGACGGCCCCACGTGGGGCCCGGCGACAGGACGTCGTCCTCCTTCACCGTTGCTTTCCAATTTCCACGTTTCTCGGTCCCCGTGTGTTCAGCCGCGGAGTTCTGGGAAGAAATCTTGGCCTTTGGGGTCCTGCAGGAGAAGGTGCTCCTCGGGACGCCCCTCCTCTGGGCAGCAGGTCCAAGGCGACCAGATGCCTTTTGGGTGCTCTGCCGTGACTCTGTTGTGCTTTTGGCCTCGTGACTTAGAAAGGAAGCAATGATAATTATTTTTTCCTGCTGTAGCGCCGCGGATCCTGCACCCCTGTGGATCAGATGTCGTGAACCGTTTCTGGGCTGAGCTGGTTTTTCAGGTGAGTAGGGCCGTGGCGTGAGACGGTGCCCGGCCTGGTGCTGCTGCGGCACCGAGAGTGCGGCTGGCAGTGCCGGCTCTGCAGGGCTTGGTTTTGCTGCACCCCTGCTCGCCGGGGTCGAGCAGAGCGGAGCCGCCCACAGTTCCTACCAGGATGTGGCTTTTCTCTCGCCGTGAAGCTGAACAAGCAGCAGCCACTGTGAATGACTTTTTTTGGACAAAGTATGTTTATAACACAGAGGTAAAGGTGAATTATTTACTTCAACCTTTGCTTTCAAACCTAGCTCCCGTGAAAGTCCCAGGGGAGCGTTGCAACCAGCCCTTGTGACCAGAGCTGTGTTTCAAGGGAGAATAAAACACAAACAACTCTCCTGCAATGGTTTGGGTTGCAACTCCCTAGAGCGGCTGCGCTTCGTGGGTGAAAACGAGCGGGAGGTGTTTGCCAGGCTGCTGTGTCCTGCAGTCAGCACGAGAGAGAAAAGACAGCAAACAAAACAGGAAGCCTTGGTTGGGGTTATAAAAACTCTTTTAGGTTAAAAAAAGCCATCTAAAATGTATAGTGGTAATTAATTACACCTGAGTGTGTTGAGGATGCTTTTTCTGGCTGGGTCTTTGGCTTTCTCCGAGCCTCTCTGTGTGCTCAGATCCAGATGCGGGTCTCAGCTCTGAACCGTGGTCCTCATTTAGGTCATTAAAGGCCTGGACTTCTAGACTTTTTGACAAAGGGGCTGCCCTGGTCACAATGTCGGGTCTGGTATCTATAAATGATAAATTATTTGATTATGGTCCCCTAATCCCAGTGCTGTGTATCTGTTGATCTGTTGGGTAATGCAGGCTCCCGGGGTGGTTTTCGGTCTCTCCTGGATGCAAGGCTGGACATGAGTGGTGTGGCTGGTTCTGGGGAGATGGGGGCAGTGCCTCTCCGTCCCCCCTCCATAACCACCTCATTCCCAAGAGGTGCTGAAGCAGTGTAATTTGTACCTGGTGGCCAATTGGAACAGGCTGATGCAACGTGGGACTAATATACAGGAGGTTTCGGGGGGGGGCTCCACTGTCTTTAAGCTTCACACATAAGAGGAATTGGAAGTGGGTGTGTGTTGCTGCAAATAAATAGCTTCAGAGAGTGGTTGCTTGTCTGAGTGCTAGCTTAATTCCCCTCCTTTTTCTTCTCTCCTCTTGCTGCTCGTGCATCAGGAAGCGTGGAGCACCAAGCATCCATCATGTCCGACTGGGTGCTCCTTGGGCTGATCGCGGCGCTGGTCGTGCTGCTGCTGCTGACCGTCTTCGGTTTCGCTGTCTACTCGGGGCTCTTCACGGAGGTGGTTGTGAGCGCTGGCTCCCCGCCTGTCGGCAACATCACGCTGGCCTACAAGTTCAGGGTGGGCCCGTATGGCGAATCCGGGCAGCTCTTCACGGACGGCTGCAGCATCTCTTCAAAGCTCTGCTCCATCGGTGTCTACTATGACAACCCTCACACGGTAAGGCGTGCCTGGTGGGGCTGGCAAGCTCTTGTGGTCAGCACCCGGGTTCCTGGCTCGGGGTGCTCCCTGACTGTATTTCAGGCACTTGCAGCTCATTGTCCGTAGGTGAGCACTGGGGTTCACAAGGTCTCCTAGATCTGCAGAGGATTATCTGTGGGGAAAGGCACCTGAAAGCAGATGGTTTCTTGGGTAACCCTAACGGGAAGGCATTGGGCGAGCAAAGCTTGCCATCTTCTCATAACTC